AAGCTTTAATACTCAAATATTAAGATGGGTCCATTTTACTCCAACAGTGTAAATTGCAGCCCATTCATTCCTGTCCATCCTGTGCCTCTCTTGTCCGTGTTTTCCTACATGTTCTCTATAGGGAGTTTACCTAACAAGCTGAAGGATTTCCTCATTCTCTCAACATCACAGGGGTACCAGTGGAATACCCTGCATGTCCAGCTGCCACATGACTAGCCCATCCTCTCTCCTTATCACACAATTCCTTCATGACATCTTTTATTCCTGTTCTTCTTTGGAGTTCCATGCTGTATCCTACTATATCCACCATGAACCTCTCCATTGTTCTTTATGCAGTGGTATTCCATGTCTTGCTGCTGCCATGTAGAAACATCAGTGAAATTTTAGCGTTGAAAAAGTAGACCTTTGTTTTCATAAGAAGCTTGGACCTCAGTACAAAAGGAAAAGAGTTTGCAATTTCCTGAAAACCTCTCTGCCTATTCTCTACTTTTTCAGGGCTAGGCCTATCTCATTGTCTATCTGAAACTCTAAGGGTTAAAAGTTATCTATCAGAAGCCCTATGAGATCCTGCCCAGTTTAAGGTTCAATTTATTCAATTAATTGCTGTCATAAACTCATTTTTACTGAAGGCCTGTTACTGCATAATACTATTTACTGTGCTATAGGGCATATATTAAAACAAACCAAAACCAAAAACAAACAACAAAAAAGCCAGCCCCCAAAACTCATACAAAAGTCATGCTCTCTGGCTTCTAAGAATTAAGCCTGGTCGGATAAGATGATTAATTGAAACTAAATAATGCATACTATTTATAAAATCTCAAGCTTTACATCATCCATTTTTTCAAAATTCATTCAGAACATAGAGCCAAAATAATTAAATACATGATAAGGTATAATGGGAAGCCTAATGAGATCTTATCTATAAAGGGCTTTTAGAGTCTCAAGTACAATTGCAATACAGAACTTTTTTTTTCTTTCTGAGGAGTTAAATGATAGTACACTTGAAGAATATTAAATCGGCTTGTAATTCTATCTATAAATGCATCTGAATAATTTGTTTTATTGTAACTCCCATAAAAATTAATCAAGTTGCATTCTAAATTTATCTTAGAATCAGACTGAAATTAATATTTATTTCTCTCTTATTTTACTTTTCAGTTGGACTAGACCAATTTTGAGGAAAGGTTTCAGACAACGCTTGGAATTGTCAGACATTTATCAAATTCCCTCCTCTAACTCTGCAGACCATCTATCTGAAAAGTTAGAAAGGTATGATCCTATGTATCTATTTTACAGTTGAAGAGTAAAAAGCACTTGCCACACTGTTTTTAGAAGCATAAAAATGATTAGGTAATTTGGAGGGAAATGTTAATTTGAGTAGCAATATCTCACTTCAATTGATACAAGTACTGTCTATTGCAAAGGGTGAAACAAAATAACAAATTTTGTAGTTTCTGAAATTTAAAAAGTGCTATTTGGACTCTTAAAACTTATAAATACTCCAAAGATCCATGGTTTCTTCACCACATGAAACTCATTTCATTAACTTATGAGACTAGGGATACCCTTGAGATATCTGAGGGAGTGGTCTGAAGTATATGGTGATTCAATAACTTGACTAGGGACAACACATGTAGTTGTCATTGGAGATGGAACCTGAACCCAGCTCTTCTTGATTCCAAGCCCACCCCATTATATACTAGACCAGAGGTGTCAAACTTGTAGCCCACGGTGAGTGTCATCAGCATGTAATTGGGAAAGGCTCAACAAAATAGATAAAAACACAACATACATGATGTTAATTTATGATTTTCTAAGTCAATATATTGCCTTCAGGGATCTGTTTCTATTTGAGTTTGACATCACTGATCTAGTTTAACCATACCACCTCTACTGAGAAATTCTAAAAATTTACCTAACTTAAAAATAGATTTGGATCATACAAAAACACATTTGATTTCATTATGAAGCCATTCTTCTGTATTCCACTTTTGAATGTTTAATGTGGAATAAGGACACATTTTATTCTAATTGACAGGTTGTTTTAATGTAATAACTATTAGACAATTAAGAAGTAATATTTACTCTTGTAAAGAAATCCAAAATTTATTTTTGTTCTGCTATTGCTTATTTATAAATTGATAGAGCCATAATTTTATTGGGAGAGGGGCATTCCCCTTATTGAAGCAGATCATGATCTTTCCATACCTCATTCTATATAATTCTTAACCGTATTTCCCAATAATTCTTCCAAAGACCATCTACCTAATGTAGTCATCCACTGCATCCGGGTCATCACCAGCTGTCTTGACTTTTGTCTTGCCACTGGACTTTGATGACTCTGAGAGAGTGAGGCTCATGACTTCATGTACCTCTGCCTCACTTAACTCTAATCCGCTCACCAGTCAAGACAGGTCCTCTTCAAAATAAAGGACAAACAACAATCTAATACACAATGGTTTCCATTGTATTAACTATCTTGAGTTTACTAGCATGCCATCTTAGCATCTTTTGTCTACTATTCTCAATTCATGATCTATCTTCTTTTTATTCTTATTTGTGCTTGATCAGACTGAATGACCACTTGCCAAAGATGTTTGCAGAGCCCTTTATAAACTTAACTTCTCACCTCCTCTCGACCCCCAGTCTCTTTATGAGAAGCAACAAATGATTCCCAGTGCATGTACAGGTTGAACTAGATGGCCCCTGAGGTCCCTTCCACTTCCTGAATTCTGTTCCTGGATCTTCAGAGAAAGCCTGGCCTCTTGCCTTTCCAGAGTTTCAATTGATAATAGCCTGGACACTTGCCCAGGAGGTACGGAAATCATGGGACTGAGTTGAGCACAGAGTTCACTCCAGGCTGTAGGTGTAGGGCCATTGCTTGGACTGGAGAACTCTGAGTTGCACACAGGCATCTTGCTTGACTTTGAATCTTCTCATGAGTTTCGTGCCTTTATTATGCAGAATGACATTAATAGGTATGCCAGTTTACAAAATGCAGAATTGTCCTCTATTTTGTAACTGCTTACAGAAGTTATTGTATATTTGATCTCTGTATAGTTAGAGAATAGTGTATACTGATATTCTTTAGAAATACCCTACTACTTTAGAAAAAGATAGGGATGCATGGAACTTTAAGCTTTTTATTTACAGGATAATCTGAGAACAACTGGAGAAGGAAATGGCAGAATCCAGTATCTTTGCAAAGAAAACCCCAAATGGAGTCATGAAGAGTTGAACATAATAGGAAAATTACTGAACACTACCAACAATTTACAAGATGATAATATCTAATGACAGATATAGTATTTAACAAAAAGTAAACAAATGGTGTAGTGGAAATACAGGCAGAATTTCTCAGTTTCTTAACTACATAATTTCTATTCCTAACACTAGGTATAATAGAAAAGCTATGGTGAATTCCTTAAGTTGATCTTGTTTACTATTTTAGATTTTTCATTTTTAAAACTGTATGTAATACTAAACTAAAAGAGAGACTGTGTGAAGGAAGTTGACCTTAGAAGAGTCAAGAGAGGTGCAAGAGAGGTACCTTTAAAATGTACTAGTGGTAGGACTTGGGTAAGTTACTTAACCTCTCAATGCCCTTTTTAAGTTTTTTAAGCTTTTTAAGACTATAAACTGCATGCCTTTGAGAACTCAAGGGTAATCAATTCACCACAGAGAAGATTTTTTTTTAATATTTAAGATTTTTTAAACATTGGTTTCGAAGAATTCAAGCTCAAATCTTCTAGGAGGAACCCCATCTGAATAAAAAGATTTACATGAAAAAGTCATTGTTTTCACAAGCTGGTTGGGCCAAACCCTCCTTCGTCTTTTTGGTTATGAAATATATGGAAACTGTGATCATTGAAGTGGGACAAAAGTGCTGATTGATTGTCATTAATTATGTAGAACTTACAGGACTGGGCTCTGTGATACTCCAAATAGACAGCAGTGAAACCATTCTCATTCAGATCATAAAACAATAAACTTTCAAGTTGAAGGATTCCTGTCCTATGTATGGGCTAGCAAATTAATAGATTGGTAAATGGGTGTTTTTAAGTACTCCAATTAACTCATGATGAAACATTTCTCCATTTGTTCATTGGAGAGGAGACAGACAATAGTATGGAATGTGGTATAATCCTGTCAGATGGGATCACAATTGCCCTGTGTTTTGTTTATTTATGTAGATATGTGTGTGTTTGTTTCTGATACAAGGTGGGATTCAGTGAAGAAGGAGATGACTTTGGTGGGGGAATAGTCATCAATAAGCTTAAGAACAAAAACACATAAAAAAAAGATTATAGCTTGCAGAACTATTGCTGGTCTGGGCATTGGTATAGGGAAGTTCCAACGAGGGAGAATATTAGATAGATTCATAATTTTAGGCTCATAGCTCCCAGTGAGGGAGTTTCCTACTTACATGGAATCATAAAACCAGACAAAACTAAGATATTAAGGAAATTCAACCTTCTAACTTTTCAGCTTACTGTTTAAGTTTAAATTGTATGTGCTACTTAAGTGGTGAAGATCTAGGAAAATTTTTTGCTAAACTTACAAAATTTTGAAAGCCATATTTGAGAATATCTTTTCTGGTTTTTTCTTTCTTTTCTTTTAAACTGATTTTCTTCTTTCTGAAGGTTATAGAAACTCCTAAAATATTTTGCCCATTATTTCTGGTGTTAGGCAGTACAGTGCTTTCTGTTAAGAAATACACTGTGACCTTTTCATGAATCAGCTCCCTGCAGGGTGATATATGGTGAGGCATTTAAATGTGCCAAATATGTGACTGAACTAGATTTGAACTTTTATTGAGTTATCAAGTCAGTGAGCATTGGGTCTTTGGGGTCTTTACAAATTTTTGGTTTCTTAAGTCAATTTGACTAAATCTCCTTGGATATACTTGGGTGAATCAAACTATGTTGAGAGCACATAACAACTCAAACATTTGTCCTTCCAACTTAATGGTCTTGTTTTTTGTGTTTCTTTTTCAGGGAATGGGACAGAGAACTGGCATCAAAGAAAAAACCTAAACTCATTAATGCCCTTCGGCGATGTTTTTTCTGGAGATTTGTGTTTCATGGAATCATATTATACTTAGGGGTAAGAATGCTGCAAATAAATTCACCATAGGTATATAAAATAATCCCAACCTCTATAATTGTAATAGCTAGCATTAAGGTTTGACAAACACTTTGCATATATTATTTTATCCTCTCAGCATCCCTGTGAGGTAGGTGCAGATGAGTAACCTTAGGTTAAGTTACTTAGCCAGGGTCACACAGCTAGTAAGTATATGAGGCTGGATTTGAACTCAGCCCTTGGTGACTCAAAGACTTTATCTGCCTAGCTTTATTTCAATAGGACTGAAACAACAAGCTGGCAACCCATTGTTTTGGGTTTTCTTCAGTAATATGTAAGGAAAAACTTACAAGTTGGAACCACTGTAACCACCACGGAAGGAACTTCAAATCTCTGCTATAGAGATGTAAAAATTTTACTTCTTCTTTTTTTTTGCTAGGCCACAATTTCCTTATCTGCAGTATGGTAAATTGGACCACATGACCTCTTAGATACCTTTTAGCTCTAAATCTATGTAGAAAGAGGGGCCATGGAGACCAACAAAAGTACAAGGCAGCAGCACACCAAGTGCTTGAACCTCAAAACTAAGTATTTTCCCCAGCTCTGAAGCCCATTCCAGAGCAAATGTGCTTGGATTACAAATAGCAAATTAAACTTAACAATTAACATGCTCATATGAATTGCTTCTTCTAAATAAGTACTCTTTCAGTACCAGTTCGCTGTTTATTTTGTGCCTTAGATTAAATGTTGCCTTTGCTTTCCAGAGTCCTGAAGAGCAGAAGTAGCATAAAGGGAAAAATTGCTCTTAGTGATCTGCCCTTGCAGAGTGTCTGAGGACCTGGGTTTGAGTGTAGGCCAGTGGTGGGAACCTGCGGCCTTGAGGCCACATGTGGCCTTCTAGGGCCTTGGGTGCGGCCTTTTGACTGAGTCCAAGTTTTACAGAACAAATCCTTTTATGAAGGGGATTTGTTCTGTGAAGTTTAGAGTCAGTCAAAGGGCTGCACTTGAGGACCTAGAAGGCCACATGCGGCCCCAAGGTTGCAGGTTCCCCACTCCTGGTCTGGGCTCTGTTACTGACCTGCTATATGAATTGTGGCAAGGGACTTCAACTCTTTTAGGCCTCTGTTTCCTTTTTTGGTAAATTGAGGGGGCCAAACTAGATTATTTTTAAGTTCTCTTCTGACCCTAAATCTTACGCTGAACTGCTTTCCAGTGATACAAAGCAAGATTTTTAAAATTTTGCACTGTGGTACTGTAGGCAAGTGACAACCTTGTGCTATATTCCTTAGGCTTGTCATGTATTGAGTCAGGGTAGACGTGACCTTAGACTGAAATGTTAAATCCAGAGACAGTGTTGAAAAGGCAGCTTAGGACGTTACATACATGCTTTCTAAGCGTAACTTTGATTCCACATGTCATCTCTTAACCACTTCAGACCTTAGCTAGAAAAGTTGGTGACAGAGATTGCAAATGAATTGATTCTTCACATTAGAGCTGCGTAAAATATTTGTTGTGAGGTTTCAGGTACTCTGTGTGTTGCTGTCTTGTACTTACGTTGGTCTTCCTGACCTCTCCTTAGAGGTCATGTAGTCCAAACTGCCCCTATTGCAGATGAGGAAATTGGCCTAGCAAGCTTAAGTGACCTACTCAAGATCATATAGGTAGTAATCAACAGAAGTGATATTTGATCTCAGATACTCTGGCTCCAGAGAAAGTGTGCTTTCTACTATACCACTGTTACACATTTAGGCAATATTAGATGATTATCTGAAAGGTAACTTCTGGTGTAATGGATAAAATGCTGGATGTGGAGTCTGGAAGACCTGAGTTCAAATCCTGCTTCAGACAATTTTTGCTGTGTGACCCTGGACAAGTCACTTAATATCTGTTTATCTCAATTTCTTCATCTATAAAACTTAAACCACGATTTCCAAAAGATAACCTGACTGTATGATTGGAAGAGCAACACGTCCTTCCTTTTTTCTTTTTGGAGAGGATGTTGGGACTTTTTAAATCTTGTGGATTTTTTTTTTTGTTGGGTGGTGGTGTGTGAGTTGTCAGGGGCAGGAGTGGAGGAGGAGGGAGTCTACATTCTCCAGTGCTATTTAAAAAATTAATGGAAATAATTTTATTTTGAGAATTTTGAAAATTTTACAACATACTTTGAAATTCTCTGTGCTAAATTACAGTTCAGAATCCTTGGTATGGTGACCACATAATCAAATTCATGTATAGGATATTTTCTTTACATTCTACTTTTCTAGGGTAACTTATGATCTTTGGCCTTATAGAAATCATACTAGAGTCTATTCCTTGAACATATATAGAGATAATTTACAATTGTCCTTTATGACAGATATAGGTAGATAAAGTGATAGGTAGATAGATAGACAGTCAGATAGACAAACCCTTGGTATGACCTTGACCATTCTAGGCCTTTCTGGACCCTTCTTATCAGTAAATTGATGGTATCAGGGTATATGGTCCTTAAAGTCTCTTTCAAGCCCAGAATTCTAGCCTAATATTTCAACATATTCTCTGCTTCTGTATACTAGTCTAGGATTATGATGACCAAGATCCAGATCGTAGCTCTATGTCGTTCCCTAGATGTTGTTCTATTACGTACACCTTGTATTGAATAACATCCTCATCTTCTCCTTAGTAACACATTATCTACCATTACATAATTACTGGTTCCCCAAAGTTGGAGGTGAGCCCTGCCACTACTCCCTTTCTATTTATGCAATCTGCTTGTACAACACTCTTTTCCCTTGATTCCTACAGTGCATAAATTAAATTTAGTCCAGTCCAACGAACATTTATTAAGCAATGCACTATGCTAAGCACTGATGATGCAAAGACAAAAATGAAAAACATCACTTCTTCTGTCTCCTAGAAGCTTGCATTCTGCTGGTTCATATGAACAAAGCAAATAATTTCATAGATAAAAATTATTTATAATGTCAAATAGATGTTTATACAAATTATGAAATTTTATCCAATAGAAGTGGGGAGTTGTTAAGAAATCTAGGAGATCATCAGTATAATTCACTGGAAAGTCTTGGATTTGTTGGACCTGACTTTGAAAAGTGACTCTACCTTGTGACTCTGAGCAAGTTGCTTTTCTGGGCCTCAGTTTCCTCATGTTTAAAATGAGGAGATAGAACTAAACCTCTAAGGTCCCTTTTAACCTTAGGTCTATGATTTAATCAAACTCTTTTGTTTTATAGATGAGAAAACTGAACCTTATAGCTATGAATTGACTTGCAGAGGGTTGCACAGAAAACTAGTGGCAAAGTTGGGACTAGAATTCAGATGTCCCAGGGCCAGGCTGTTCCCACTGATACCACAATGTCACATTAAGTATTGTAATAATATTCAGTACCTAATAATTATAGCTGAAGTTCTCTATAAAATAACACATCATTAACAATTCACAGTCCTAAGTCTCTCTGTGAACTTAGACAGTTATGAAGTTTCTCATAAAATCAGAAGTCATGAAGAGCTTACATGACCATATAATGATTGCCTTTACAGTGAGCGAAGCTTTCCAGGGTATGTGGTCTCTAGGCTTGCCTAACCCCCATTCCTGTTGCTCAACTTGTAATTCCATTACTTCCCAGGTGTTGCTTGAAATTATTACAATTTTGCTGCTGCAAATAAGTAGCAGTTGTAATTCCCAAGCTTTTTTTTTTTTTTAAAATAATGAATATACTTGGCCAAGATGGCAGATTAGAGGCAACTTAGCTGAATTTCTCAACATTCTTCTCCACATAACTTTAAAATAATGACACAAATCAAATTATGGAGAAGCAGAGCCATCAAAAGATCAAGGTAAGGTATTTTTCTGGTCTAAGAAAACTTAGGAGGTTTGCAAGAGAAGTTAGTGACACTGGGTTGGAAGCCTGTCCAGAGGCCCACATATGTGGCAACAGTGGTTACAACAATGGCAACAGCTTTGGGAGCTCTCAGCCCAGACATAGTAAAAAGGCCAGACAACTGGTAAGAAAGAGTTTACAGGGGACCCTTTGCTATTACAGAGTACAGATGGCACTGATAGGCAACTCTATTGTCTATGCAGTTCTAAGTCACAGTTCTAGAGTAGAGAAGAGAGCTGGGGGTCAGTCACAAGGGAGGAGGGGCCCTGGTCTCAGTTCCAAGGCAAAGAGAGTACTAGTACTTGTTGCTCCAGAGAACCAGGGCCCTTCCTGGGTAAAGACCACAGTGCAGACCATACCTCACAGGATCATACCATTTTGGAGTAACAAAAACTTGCAAATATCCAGAACTAGCTCTGAAAACAATAGCATGAAAAAGACTAAAGCTTAGGACAGTGCCTCCCTACCCCCTGGTGAGCAAAGCCCAATTTTAACATAAAGTGCAAAGTCAAGAAATACGCTAGAAAAATGAGAACAAACAACAACAACAAAAAAGAAATTGACCATTAAAAGCTACTACAGTGTCAGGGAGCATCAAGACACATACTCAGAAGAAGGCAATAATGTAAAAACATTTATAAACAAAGCCTCAAAGAAAAATTCTAATTGGACCCAAGCACAACAAGAATTCCTGGAAAAGTTAAAGAAGAAGCTGAATGGTAGAGGAAAAAATGGGAAAAAATAATAATGATGCAAGAAAATTATGAAAAGAAAGCTAATAACTTGGTAAAAGAGGTACAAAAATACTTAAGAAAATAAATCCTTAAAAAGCAGAATAGACCAAATGAAAAAGGAGGTACAAAAATTGGCAAGAAAATAATTCCTTAAAAAGCAGAATTGACCAAATAGAAAAAAGAGGTACAAAATCTCACTGAAGAGAATAATTCCTTAAAAATTAGAATTGGGGGGCAGTTAGGTGGTGCAGTGGAGAGAGCACCGGCCCTGAAGTCAGGAGGATCTGAGTTCAAATCCACTCTCAGACCAAATACTTAACACTTACTAGCTGTGTGACCCTGGGCAAGTCACTTAACCCCAATTCCCTAAAAAATAAAAAAAAATTAGAATTGGACAAGTAGAAGCTAA